TATGGGCGGCACTATCACCGGCTGCTGATACTGCGGGCTTTGCTGTGTTATCGTCGAAGACACAGAAAGGTGCGAAGAATGGGAGCGATGATGGGACTGGGCTTGCGCTTGCGATGGGTGTAGAGGCAGCCGTATAGAACGGATCATGACCATCCCAATTTGCCTCAGCGTCGCAAACAAGTACTTTCCAAGCGATATCGCCGGCGACTTGCCGAGCGGTATCGATCCAAAGTTTTGCAATTGGATTGCCAGCTGCGTCAGCGTCGATAATCTCTGTGATGTCCATCAGCCACCCATCCTCTCTTACAATCTTACCTACACCACCCCGCGCCATACGCCTGCTTGGCGGGGGGAAGAGGGGAAAGGGGACGTACAAAGAGATCTTCCAAATGACTCTCCCTCGTCAACTCCAACTTGCTCCCCATCAACTTTACCGTCAAGACCGCGGCATACGTCAACATTGTCAGCGTTATGCTCGGGCACAAGTACCGCGCTTCTTGTATGCCCGACCCGCCTTGTCGGGAGACCCAGGTGTCGATGGATTGGCAGGCGGATGTGGATTCTTGGAGACACCTGCTCATATGTCAGATTTGGATGTGGTGGATGGGCGGGGAGAGAAGGGGGAGATTGGGACGTACAAGCCTAGGGTCGATTCGTTCAGCCTCCCCTGATTCAACATCCGCTCAAAAGGCACCATCAGAACCAAAAACCGCGATGCTTTCAAGATGATATCGTGTATCGCATAATCTTTATCCCACTCATCAGCTCAACATCCCCTCTCCCAGCTTGGTTTGTTTGGAGGAAGGAAGGAGACTCACGTTTGGCAGTCATCAGACTCTTCCATTGCGCAGTCCATCGCCCAAAACCTTCATCGACAATCATTTTGACATCTTCAAACCTGACATTCTCGTCCGACGCGACTTGGGCGGCTACTTGGCGTTGCACCTGGATCTGTTCTCTACATCAGTCGACCATTCTCAATTCCAACAGCAACAAACAGCGCGTAAAAGAGAGTGGGGGAGTGCGAGACGTACGAGCATTTGACGGGAGGAGGCAGAGCTGGTAGTAAGGACATCATCGTCGATAGATCCCTATACCTTGTCAGTAGACTAGCGGGGGACGGGGATAGGAATGGGGGAGCTTACGGGGGCGGTATGCCAGGTCGCAAGCATCCTCTTTGACGATAATTCTCCCTCCGCCACGAGCGGTTCCCTCCCTCTCACCAACGCCAGTCTAACGTTTCATCAGCCTCACCGACCGTTTAAGAAGAAGAGGGAGAGGGAAAAAAAAGCTCACGCCCGATCAAACGTATACAAATTGTACCACGTCCTCTGACTATTCCTGATCAACTTGACCTGCATTTCCGGCGACGCTTTCTGATACTGCATATTGCTCGACACGCAAAAGGGGATAAGCCGGTCCAGGCGAAGGGTCGTAGCTTGCATGATTGCTGTGGCTATGTGTTGCCAGCACCTACCCCTCATCAGCCCGATTTCCCATTTCGATATCAATGATAAGTGACGACAGATACCTTTCCTGCCACTGCAGATCCCCCTCCTCCGCCTGCCCCAGCCAAAGCGCATCAACCATCAGCCCCTGCACAATCTCTATACTCCTCGCATTATCCATATACGTCTGCATCTGCAGCCCTTGGGTATGTTCGCTCAATCTTTGGAGGGTCGTGTCGGAGATGCCGGGGTAGTATTTGGCGGCGTTTTTGAGGATGGCGGAGAAGAGGAATGTGGAGCGGAGGCGGACGAATGCGAATGTGTGCAGGGCGGGGTCAAACATGTGTAGGAGGGGAGCGAGGTTGTTCATGAAACTGTACCCGCTTTCAGCACGTACACCGGCAAAAGAAGAGGAGGGAGAGGGGAGGACGTACTAGTCGAAGAGCAAGGAAGCTTGTTCTTCGCTGACGATACCGACATTGACGACGTCGTATTCGGGGTGAGAGGCGAGACCGTCAGTCTTGGAGAGCTCGACATTCCCCACAGCGCGGGAGGCTGTCCCGCGGGATAGCTGCTCGGGGCCGAAGAGTGCTTGTAGGCCATCCTGTATACGGAGAGCTGAGGAAATGAAGGTCAGCTGAGCACGGGTAAGTGAAGGCAAAAAAAGGCTTGCCGTCGTCGGGGGCAAAAGCGCTGGCGATCCGCTGCGGAAGATCATGAAGCTCGACTCTGGGAAGGCGTTAGTATAGCTGATGGGAAATCAAGTCAAGGCTCACGGAGCGAGCTGTTCTTGGCCTTTGTGGGCGATGCTGGTATCGGCCAGGATATGAAGCGGATTGATAGAGCTGGGCTGTATCTCCATCAGCGTCGACCACTTTTCGTCTGGTGCTAACCCACATGATGCAGCTCTGGCGACTCTTCAATACTCGGTGCTTCGGATTTGGGTGAAAGGCTTGCTTTTGACGATGCGCCCAGCGAAGCAGCCTCCTTGCGGTAATCAGCCGCCCTTTTGCTCGACTCGGCTTCCGCTGCAAGCCTCTCCAGCGTCTTGCGGCTGCGAACCAATCAGCACGTCATTTGAACCACCCATCATAAAACAAAGCGCTCACTTGCGATGCCCTCGCTTGCGGCCGAGAATCCGAGGCTTGGTGTCACAGGGGATGCCCCTCTTTCTGCATCTCGCGCAGACCTCGGTCTCGCTTTCTCTCTGGCACTTGATCTGTACGAGTACTCTGTGAGTGATTATCCCGTGTGGCAGGTAAAAAAAGACTCACTTTGCGGCCGCGGCATGCGAGGCAGGAGGTGGTGTGCATTGTGGAACCAAACACGGCGGACAGTGGGATGATGGATGTGAGCCGAGATAGATGCAATTGGTGGCCGCTCCGCCATTCACAGTTCTGGGAAAGGTCCCGCCCACATTGGGCTGCCTGGCCCGGAATGTAATCACGTGGGTGCGGTGACTACCCCCATTCCGGGATTGTCGACCCAAAACGGGGTGATCGGTCAATCGGTGTTCTGTTGACAATCTAGAATCCGCTTCTCTCTATTTTGGCACCGTCCACCTCTAATATCGTCCATGCGGCTCCCTTCCCCCTCTACATCTACAATTGTACCCCCTTCTGACACACACCCCACGCTCAACCTCAACATGGGTTTCGTCTTCTCCACTCCCCAGGATACTGACCCCGTTCCCATTATGGACGAAAAGCCCAAGCCGCTGGTCAGCAAGAATGGCAAGATCCTCGTCGTCGGGGGCGGCGGAACTCTAGGCTCTTCTACCGCTCTACATCTCGCGAGACGCGGCTACACCGACATACGAGTGCTGGACGTCTATCAGACACCTTCAGCCTATTCAGCAGGCAACGATCTCAACAAGGTGCTTTCCCCAATCGACCTCATGATGGAGGAGACTTGTCGCTAATACCCGAATCTTCCCGTAGACCGCCGGGGCTGGACGGTCTGGAGTATGGGGCCAAGTCGGCCAAGCTGCATGGAAAGCATGGACCACCGACCCGCTCTTCAAACCCCACTGTCATCCTACAGGCATCGTACATCCTTCTCTCAACCTCGTCATGGTTATCGCTTACAAAACCAATAGGCCGACGTATGCAGCGGCGACAATCCCAGAGCAGCAGATCTCAAAGCCAAATATGACAGCCTTGTCGCGTCCGGTCGCGCAGGCGACTATGCCTGGCTCGATAACGAAGACGACATTCTCAGAGTCGCTCCCCACCTCAAAGGTGCCGACATCCAAGTCCGTCCCCCCGTCCCCGAACCCCATATTCATGATACTGACCATAATGCACAGGGCTGGAAAGGTCTCTGGGGCACCCAAATGGCCTGGGTAGCAGCCCGCGATGTCCTGAACGCCGTCGGCCTCGCCGCCCAACATCTCGGTGTAAAAACCACCTTTGGCACCTCGGGCACATTCAAAGAACCGCTCCTGTCTGCGGATGGGAAGAGGTGTGTGGGGGTGAGGGCGGTGGATGGGACGGAGTGGGATGCGGATTTGGTGGTGTTTGCGGCGGGCGCTTGGTCGCCGGTGTTGCTTGACCTGAAGGGACAGTGCGTGAGCAAAGTACGTCTTCTTCAGAGTCATCCTCGAAATAATCCCAGACTGACGATGGACGCAGTGCTGGGTCTACGCCCATATCCAACTCACCCCCGAAGAAACACTGGAAATGCGCAACATCAGCACCATGTACAACTACAAACTCGTACGTTCCCCCTCCGCTTCCATCCCCTCCCGACCGCCTTCTGACACCCGAGCTGCAGGGCTTCTTCATCGAACCATCCCCCACCGGCCTGCTCAAACTCTGCAACGAGTTCCCGGGGTACACAAACCTCACTCCCTCTACCCCTTACCCCCTCACCACGCCCACACTCCTCTCCTCTCCGCGCGCCCATGCGGACCATCCGACGGATACGATCCCCACTGAATCCTTGCTCGCAATCCAGAAACTCATCAAAGTCTGCCTCCCGTGGCTGGAGGGAAGAGAGCTGATAAAGCAAGGGATGTGTTGGTGTACGGATACGGAAGATGGGAACTGGTTGTTGTGTGAGGACCCGAGATGGAAGGGGTTGGTGTTGATGACGGGGGATTCGGGGCATAGTTTTAATACGTTGCCGCAGGCGGGGAATGAAGTTGTGGATCTTATTGAGGGGACTGTGAGTCTTCTTCTTCTTCTTCTTCTTCCTTTTCGTGTTTTCGTGTATGTAGCGGGATGCTGACTATACTGGCAATGGTAGTTGTCGGAAGAAAAGAGCAACGCATGGAAATGGAGACCAGGAAGGGGCGATCCGGATGGTACAGGTAGAGCAGGCGGTCCGCCCAAGGATTTGGGTGATCTGCCGGGGTGGAAGCATGGTGATTAGTGACGCTACTCGATGAGAGTACTCGAGTAGATAGTCTAGAAGAGGGTATACAATGTACATGCATGTACAGTGCATTATCCATCATATCGGACTATAGCGACAAGAAGTAGAGAGCTAGCTAATAGGAGTTCCAGTCTTTGAGTTGGGCGACGTATTGAATGTCGTCTTTGATCTTGCTCATCCTAAATAGGCGTCCCAATTTTTGAAATGGGCGACGTACTCAATGTCGTCTTTGATCTTGCTCATCCTACCATCATTTCTTTGTCAGCCATCTACCTTCCCGAGTGTCGTCGGGCCATGGAGTTAGACTTACTCGTAGTTTTGGGTGTCGCCCCAAGGATTATGCAGTCTGACTCTATCGTCGAATCATCATCAGCTACCCCTCTTCAAACGATGTCTAGCAGGAGGGGAGTTTACACACTTGTCATCTACCACAGTCATTGCCGCATAACAGTGACGTTTTTTAAGTTTACTCGTCTTGGAGTTGGTACACACAGTCATTGGACTTGTATCAATGTGGCTTTTCAGCATGTCCCCTATAACACATCAATCAGTAGTTCACATCAAGGCGCGGATTACCAATGGAAAATATTAGATCTGCTTACACCATTTCGAATCGTCCATCTCGGCAACAGCCTCATATCCAGACAAGTATGATAAAGCTTTATGGGCGAATCCTCCATCGTCGTTGAATTTGCCGTCGGTTATACCAGATCCTCCGTGTTTCCTGACGGCAGCTTGCAGGGCACTCGGCCACCTATGACCACGCTCGTCAACATTTTTGTTGGCAAAGAGATCATACAGCAGACGATAGACTTACCACACAGAGATACTAGAATCATCATTTCCGTCCCCATTCCCCGCATCACTCAACGTCACGTCCTGATCCTCTTCTTTCAACGTATCAGGGTCCCACACTTTGCTGTCGCGGCCACGACGGCAGAGCTTGTTGGGGAATCGTCGGCCTTGGTTTGGTCGGTGAAGAGGTCTTTGATGAAGCCAGCGTTGCTTTTGGCTAGGGCGCACATCACTGTGAGTACATGAGTGAGTATCAGTTGGTGTATCTTTATCAGAAGACCGGATAGAGTGGGAGATGGACTTACCTGATGCGAGCCAGCAGTCCGGTGCCGTTGCTATACCAACCTTCAGTTTCTCCTTCTTCCTCACTTAAAGTATCTTGCAAAGGAGCAGACAAGGGTCAGCGAACGTCATTACTTACTTTGGGTGATATCATCACACGTCGGCCCCGTGACCGGATCCCACAAAACCGGGCCAACTGATGTTGTTGTCGCCGAGTCGAAATCCGTGGGCAGCAAGGGGGCCGCCGATACCATTCGTCCCACTACTAGGATTAAGGAAGACGCCGATACCATTCGTCCTACTACTTCATCTTGCACAAGAGAGGGCCGACGGTAAGCTGCTTGCGATCGGGTGTCTTTTTGAGAGAGAGACGACTCACACATCATCATAGCGGTTCTCGTACTGTATTACTATCGGCAGTGGGTTATCGGGTGTGCTACTTTACAGACTACACAGTAGTCAAGCGATCAAATAGTATTAGGCGTACTCGAATTGAAGTATCTGCGCAGTCGCCTTATATATGTGGGCATCGCGTATTATGGGCATAACGTGATCATCAGCCGATCCTTTCTACATAAAGGGGTTAATGGATAGTTTCATATCAATCAGCATACTAGGCTCAAAGGATCACTCTCCGCGTGTGCTTGGCATCCGACAGTCCTTTAAGGTTCGGTATCGGACCCTTTTATGGCGCTGTTATCCAACTCGAACCCCCAAGCCAAACGGGGCAAGGCGTATTAACGACTTGCGAGTTCGTGGAGGGGGATGGGAGCTGCGAAACGTCAATTATGACTTGAAGGTGTTCGGGTTGGATGACAAGGACATGTACCATTGCAAGATTCAAAAAGTTCTCATAGATAAGGAAGAAGAAGACATATGGAACCTACTATGGAATGGACGTCCGGCGGCCAGCTCCGCACGCAATCCTTCATTCTTTTCAGACATACCACGACAAGTACGTCGTACACGGATGAAAGCTGAGGGAGACGGATCGGCTCGAGTGGGTGCAGGGATGGTGTATGGCGTGGCTTAGCAAGAGAAGTAAGAAGTTGTGAGGGATCAGTCGGGGATCTACGGGGGGCGTTCCGCCCCCTTGTTCTTTCTCCGGGCGGGTTAATGAGCGTGGAGAAGCTGGAGAAAGTGCATGGAGAAGGAGATATGACACGGGATGCAGAGTAGAGTGGGATTAGAGTTGGTGAAGGCTCAAGCGAGAACGTTGTGGATGTGAGGGAGAACGCAGTAGTTAGAGACGAGATGAAGGAGAAGTTTTTTTATTCAGTTGTCTTGTCTTTTTCCTTCGTTGCATAATCGTCTCACATAGCGCCAATGAGCTCTACAATCTTCATGTATCTCTCTTCACCCCTGGGATGATGACTATACTGGTAATGGTAGTTGTCGGAAAAAGGAGGAACACATGGAAGTGGAGACCAGGAAGGGGGATACAGGTGGTAGAGCAGGCGGTCCGCCCAAGGATTTGAATGATCTGCCGGGGTGGAAGCATGGTGATGAGTGACGCTACTCGATGAAAGTACTCGAGTAGATAGTTTATAAGAGGGTATACAATGTCCATGCATATACAGTGCATTATCCATCTTATCGGACTATTGCGACGAGAAGTAGGGAGCTAATAGGAGTCCCAATTCTTGAGATGGGCGACGTACTGAATATCGTCTTTGATCTTGCTCATCCTACCATCATATTTTTGTCAGCCTTGTTCCTTCCAGGCTGTCGTCGGGCAATGGAGTCAGACTTACTTGTAGTTTTTGGTATCGCCCCAAGGATTACGCAGTCTGACCCTATCGTCGAATCATCATCAGCCAACCCTCTTGGAACGATGTCTAGCAGGAGGGGAGTTTACACACTTTCGCTTGTCATCCGTATCCCCGTCTTCCACCACAGTCATCGCCGTATAACAGTGGGAATCAACGAGTTTACTCGTCTTGGAGTTGGTACAAACAGTCATCGGACTTCGATCGACGTAGCTTACCAGCATGTCCCCTATCATGCATGAATCAGCCATGCACGTGGCGCAGATCACCACTCGGAAATGTAGGATCTGCTTACACCATTTCGAATCCTCCATCTCGGCAACAGCCGCATATCCAGTCAAGTATGATAGAGCTTTATAGGCGAAGCCTCCATCGTCGTCGAATTTGCCGTTGGTTACACCAGATCCGCCGTGTTTCTTGACGGCAGCTTGCAGAGCACTCGGCCACCTATGGCCACGCTTGTCAGCACTTTTGTCGGCAAGAAGATTATGCAGCAGACGACAGACTTGCCACACATAGATACTGGAATCATCATTTCCCTCCCCATTCCCCGTATCACCCAACGTCACGTCCTGATCCTCTTCTTTCAACGTATCAGGGTCCCACACTTTGGCCGTTACGGCCACGACGGAAAGGCTTGTTTTGGGATCGCCGGCCTTGGTTTGGTCGGTGAAGAGGTCTTTGATGAAGCCGGCGTTGCTTTTAGCTAGGGCGCACATCACTGCGAGTACGTAGGAGTGAGTATCAGTTGATGTGATTTTATGAGAAGACTGGATAGATGGGGGATGAACTTACCTGATGCGAGCCAGCAGTCCGGTGCCGTTGCTATACCAAACTTCAGTTTCTCCCTCTTCCTCACTTGTCCCGCAAAGGAGCAAGCAAGAGTCAGCCAAAGTCATTACTTACTTTGAGTGATATCGTCACACGTTGGCCCGGTGGTCGGATCCCACAAAGCCGGGCCACTTGATGTCGGCGTATTGACAGCCGTGGGCAGCATTAAGGGAGACGCCGATACCATTCGTCCTAATACTAGCATCAAGGAAGACGCCGATACCATTCGTCTTGTTACTTCATTTTTTAAAAGAGAGAGCCGAAGGTTAGCTGCTAGCGATCGAGTGCCTTTTCGATAGAGAGACGACTCACACATCATCATAGCGGTACTCGTACTCAGTACTGTATTACTATAGGCAGTTGGTTATTGGGTATGTTACTTTACAGACTACACAGTAGTCAAGCGATCAAATAGTATTAGGCGTACTCGAAGTAAAGTATCTGCGCAGTCGCCTTATATATGTGGGCATCGCGTATTATGGGCATAACGTGATCATCAGCCGGAAGCGAGAGTCATTGTACATCCTTTCTAAATAAAGGGGATCATAGGTAGTGTCATATCATTCAGCATGTTAGGCTCAAAGGAACACTCACCGCGTGCGCTTGGCATCCGACAGTCCTTTAATGTTCGGTATCGAAATCCTTTTATCATGTCCGGTGTAGCTCCCCGGGCCACGCGTGTACTCTACGGTACTAGGGCTTGAATTGTGCTCGACGGGTCGGTAAGCTTACTGAGTCCGATGACCTTATCAACACATCGCTATTAGCAGTCTCTGCGGTCGAATGACGCTGGATAGCAGTGCACACACATTTGCTTATCATCTGCATCACCATCATGTACGCTGCCATTGCAGTGTAACGATTCGAAAGAACTAGTTCACTAGTTTTGGTATCACACAAACGAATTTGCTGTGATCGTTGTGGTCACAGGTAGGCCCGGCGGCTGGGTCCCACAAAGCGAGATGACTCGATGTGATGATGAGTGGTGTAGGTTGTTCATTCATGAACCTGAGAGTTGATCAAAGTAAGTCTACAGTCATTTGAACCCTCTCCCTCCAGCCTTTCTCAATGTTGTACTGTCTAATGTCTCCCTGCCCCTATAACTTGAGTATCGCGCCCCATTAGACTCCAGCATACTTCGCTACTCATCTCGACCCCTCTGGCACGACTGAATATACAAAATCAAGAGGCACGAATAAGCTGGGTTGTATAACATCAGCTTCGACCACTGCTTCTGGTAGATATTCCGCCTCTGGGTCAAATTCCGCCTCTAGGTCAAATTCCGCCAGGACATCTCGATCAAAGTTGGGACTTCCATATAGTTGGGTGTAGGGAACAGGATATCCCCATCTGTTGAGAGTTGTATTGGGAGCCAAGCTATTGAAACGACTCGAATAGTCGGTGATTCCCATTGACGATCCCAAATACAAATTTTCAGCTCTGGTATATGAACTTTCAGTGCTTTCTCGACCGGTCAAGTTGAACACGTTCACAGAATTTGGATGAGCAGCTACAGTAATTTGGTTTCCTCTACTGGCCTGTGTCTGATTCATGATTGGCCTAAAGTAGATCTTATCAGAATCATTGCTGAAAAATTGCCGATTTTGACGGGTTTCAGCTAATGATTTGGTTTCCTCTGTTGCACCAGGCTCCCTTGCAAGACAAGATAAAGTCTTCAGGCCATTCTTCTGAATACCTTCGAATCGCTCTGAGCCCCAAGTCGAGTGTCCAAGTAGAACATAGTCTACACCGAAAGCCTTGCCAGTGAGGGAGTCGGGGGATAAAAGATCCGATTTATCGAGGAACTGGGTACTTGGCTTTTTAGATGGAATGATTGACTAATGCCAGAGTTAGCTTTTTTGCCACCAAGATAAAGGTAAATTGAAGCTCACGGATCCCCCTTCTGAAGAAGTACCTGTGGTGGTGGAGGGCATGCTATCGATACGATACGATAAGAGCTGTTACGGAAAGATTGGGAATAGAAAGATGTAGAGAGTGGTTTTTTGATCAAACATGTACAAAACATGTAAAAAGTCGCCCTATACATAGTCAGTGGACGGACGGTGCCGAAATCGCTTTGAGAATTGACTATGGACGAAAATATTTATCAACATCCTTTATTTCGTGCAACACCCGCAAAACAAGATAAGCTGGAGACATGCTAAAAAGAAGATTAATACATACAAAGGTGAGCTCTGAATCTTGGAGATGAGAGGGAAGAGCGATGTGATGTCGTGGATGGGAAGTCTGGCGTTTGGGCAAGCACAAGATATAGGGTTGGGGTGCGACATGAAGAGTGGATACCGGGGCGATGCATCGTTGAACGGTCGAGAGGAGTCGGAACCGGGAAAAGTGGTCGTGATCTGTAGATTAGACGATGACAGCGACGAGCGCGTCCAGGAAGCTCGGGGTAGTTTACGAGTATGATGGCGCCTATGGCGTCCACTTTCGAAGTCTCAAGTAGCCGGACTAAATGGTATATGACTACTCATTTTGGCGAGATATATGACATAGAAGGCGTATGTATAATGTAATATACAGTCGTATACCAACTTCGCCGTCTACACCTTCCTGAAGCCTGCTCACAAATACGTGAAAGGCTTGCTCGCCATCTCCTTCGTATTGATCGCCATCAACCACATCTGCGGCCCATATTTGTCCCAAACCTCCGCATCCGGCAGCTTCACCTTCCTACTAGCCTCGACGTCTGCAAACAACATATCTTTCGGAAGACCTTCGAGCTTTTCAGCTTGGCGGGAGAAGAAGTTGGTGATGGTGCCGGGTGCGGAGGCGTCGGGTTGTTGGCCGGTCATGACGAAGGAAGGGCCGGATTGGGAGGATTGGTCGAAGAATGTATCTCTTGCGCGAAGACCTGAAGGATCATCAGACGGGGAGGACTATTGTTGTGCGGGGCGTGGGGTACTCACAAGCGTGTTTGACAGAATTGACGGTGGCGTACTCTCGCTCCGCAAAACTAGCCCAAGCACACTTGCAAGCGAGATCTCTGAACCCTTCCTTCGCCTCTTCCTCGAGCGGGTCTTTGCTAACGGCAATGAATGTCGCGGCAAGGTTACACCATAGAGCACTTTCGCTGGAGATGGAGTATCAGCGACGGTTATAAGGGACGAAGGAGTAAGGACATACAATTTGCCGAGTCGGATACGAAGAGGATCGCCGGCGGGCAGAGCGTCGGTGTGGTACGGAAGCACGACACTCCAGGCGAAAAAGTATTCTGCAAACGCATTCGGAAACTCCTTCTTCCTATACAGTCTGCCCCCGACATCAGCCCCTCCATCTCAAGTGGACTGGTATGACTCACTTGTTTGCCTGCGCCTTCTTCATCTCCGCCTCGGCCAGCTTGTGCTCCAAAGAAGGCTGATCCACCGGCTTGTCCTTGATCATTTTGACGATTGCGTCAAATTCAGAATCGCCAGCGGCGGTGGACATGACGGTTCGGAAGACGTGGAATTTGGCTTGGCGGAGAAAGTGGAGGGCGGTCCGCTGGGCGGGGGTTGTGAGGGAATGTGTGAGGCGGGTTTGGGGATGGTAGAGCGGCATCTTGGTTCTAGAGGGTTTTTTTAGCAAGAGAAGAATGGGGAAGAAGGGGAATAGGTACTCGTTGAGATCTTCGCGGTGCTCCTCGGGCATCTCATCCCATGCTGCCCAAAGCTCAAAGGGCGTGAGGTCCCGCGGCTTCTTGCGCTCTTCCAGAGTAGAAACGGGAGGCGGTGAAAGTATATCTGAATGGTATTAGCAACGAAAGAGCGACATGGGGCAAACGTACCAGGAATGTGCTTGATCCATCTTTGAGCCCATGCGCGAGGACCGAAAGCATGAAGCGCTTCGATAGGGGGAGGAGGCAGTCGTTTTGATTCCTCGATATCTTTGAAGAGCTGCTCCTTGTTGACGCCCTCGAGAGCTTCAGCTTGGCCGGAAAAGTAGGCCGCCATCTGCTCGAAATGTCGATTATGGTTAGCATCTTTCGAGTTTTGGTATAGTCGGCGAAGAACGTCGCTGGAACGAAGGGCTAGGGGCACAGTCAGCGCCGTCAACTCGAAGCAGAAGAGGGGCGTACTGGCATTTCGGACGGTAATGGCAGCCGCGAATTCTCGCATCTCCCAAGTCACCCACGCGCACTGGAAAGCCATCCTCAAATACCCCTTCTCTTGCTTGACTGTTTTGGAGGTCTTGGCAAGTGCTATGCAGGTAGCAGCCATGTTGGCGAAGAGCACGGCCTCACTGGTGATGGGTCAGCTCGAGCGGACAGAGGGCCGGGCGGGGACTGACAAGTAGCCTAGACGGGGGCGCTGAGTATCGGTCTCGGAGAGGGATTCAACGTAGTGAGGGAGGACGTCTTTCCAGGCTTTGGTGTATTCTTCCATGGCATCTTGGAACTTGCCTTGTCGATAAAGTCTGCTTCAAGTCAGCGAAGAGTCGCCGACGGCATCATCAAAGACTCACTTGTTCGCGCCCTCTCGCTTCGTCTCGACTTTATCCAGCTGAGCTTTGAGGTTGTTGCTCTCTCCGTACTTTACTCCCTGGAGGCTCATGCGAAACATCATTCCGCCCATTGCAGGGTCATCTCCGAAAGGGTTTTTGAGTCGCTCAAAGAACTCCCAGATCGCCATCTTGCTGAGACGGAGACTGTGCAGGTCGGCAGAGACTGCTGGGGCGGTACGGTAGTACGTCAGCCGAAGAGGAGGGTACATGCTTGGCGTCTGGAAGCTGGCATAATCACGTCAGCCAACATCTCTTCGCTTGGGGGTCACTGCACGTACTCATTGAGGCCGTACAAGACGTCTTTGGGCAGCTGGTCAAAGTGCTCCCATGCGTGCCATATCTCGAGATTGGTGAGCTTTCTTGGTGTTATATGGTCGTCGATAAAAGTGGGCGCCATGTCGCTGTTGGATCCTGCAAGGTGGACGGCTGATACGGGCTCGTGATGTTCTCGAAATGAAAACGGGCTTCTGCACGCGTCTGGGCGTGGTTACGTAAACGCTTTACGCGCGTGATTTCCCTGATTTTCGGCCAAACAAACGGGACGGGGCGCGCCGAGCTCGTGGGAAAAAGAGTCGTCTCCCTCAATTCACATCGCAAAACGTCTCTATTTCGCAGGCAAACATAGAGCAGCGGGGGCAGCGCAAACCTTATCAGGTGGGCACGAGTGTACGAATATATCTTAACGAGCGAGTCTTTTCATTTCTCATTTCTACCCGCTGTGACTACCCCCCGACCAGCTCAGCTGACCGCTCTTCCAGCCTTACGACCTGTCCTCTATTTGTACAAATCACGTCGCTTTCTTTAATCACAAACATGTCCTTCAACGAATCAGCTCTGCCTTCTTCCACCTCATCATCTCCCTCTTCCGCCCAAGACGCCTCTTTGATGTTGTATGGCTCTCCAAACAGCTCCGCGACGTCCTCACCGCCAAGTATCTCGTCCATCAAGCGCTTTTCAGATTCGAATCGCGACTCGCCGATGTCAAAGTACTTTAGAGACCGAAAGCAGGGTTTTCAGAATTCTGTCGACGTACAACCGACTGCGGAAGACGATGTACGAGATGGAGCGGCGGAGATTGTGGATCTTGCCCGTAGCTCGTACCCGGGTCACACCGCACTCGAAACTGTCCCATCGCCCTCTCCCAATGCCAATCATACTTTGCCGGCTACTCTTCCCGCAAAGAAGACCGGCAGTGCTATGAACTCGTGGAGAGAAGGGGAAGGGTCAGAGACGCGCTCGAAACGATGGAGTCTTGGTAAGTGTCGTTCATCAATGATCACGGCGTCGACTAACCCAAGTACAGATTCCGCGACCACCGATTCTACCTTGGTCGACCCCAACTCCCCGTCCCCACAGACAACCGCCAAATCGTACTTTGCGACACAAACCTACCGCCCGTCGCTCCTTTCCCGCGGTGTCTACCATCCAAGCGACCCGAAAAAGAGCCTGTATGTCGGCGGTGGTGACCTGGTGCGAGAGGGATTCACCGGGAAGGGAATGAGGCCTCTCTTGCTTCTCTCAAGAAGATCTTCGAGCTACACCGATGATAGCCCCTCCCGCGAAAGCTTCCCATCTCCCACTGTCGAACCGCCCGTCGCCCCATCTTCTCCCATCGGCCTCGGTATCTCATTCCAACCGCCTTCGCCGTCTTCCGACCCGGCATCCATCCCTTCAAGCCCCGTGTCCTCATCGAGCTCGTGCGACTCGGACAGCGAGTATGACGCACTACCGCATATCCCGCTGCCTTTTGATATCTCGAATGCGGTTTCGGCGTTTGTCAAGTTTTTGTCCCCCGATGCTTTCGATCTCATCGAAGATGAAGCTGGATTTGACGAGAAGAGGGAGAACGCCGCAGAGGATGAAGGAGAGAAAGAGGATCGAGCACCAGAGAAGGCGGATGACGAAGCGATCAAGAGCTGCTTGAAGACTGCGGGCTCCCCGCCTCGGGCTGGCGTGAAGGGCGTCAGGTTTGACGTTCTGCCGCCCCGGCATATCAGAAAGATGTCTTCTTTGGAGACGGTCCTCATCCGCTCTGACACCAGCGAGGATTGGAACTCCATCTTTTCCTTCCGGTTCGCGTTCCCCTCTTTCCCCTCTCTCCCCTCTCTCCCTACTCTCCCGACCCTGCAACCCCTTCCCCAAACCGCCAAACCTCCCCCTACCCCACCACAAACGAATATCCCCCTCCTCTTCTTGACGTTCCTTCTCTCCGTCTTGGTGGCGGTCTTGGACTGGGTAGAGCGGGGTGCGGTGGGCGTGGTGAGGGGGTGGGTGGTGGGGGAGATGATGTTGCAGTTGGAGGGGGCGAGAGACGATGAGCGAAGGTGTGTTCTTCTTCTTCTCCTCCTTCTTCTCCTTTTTCTGTTGATCAGTGTACGAAGTGTACAACGGTGGGGCGCTGACTACTGTATGTATAGGAGGTTGGTGCGACGGAGTAGGAGGAAAGGAAGGGCTGTCGCTGTTTGATGGACTATTGCTTTGATTCGGCGTTGGCTGGTTGTCGTTGTCGGATAGGATTGATAAGTGTTGGTGTTGGTGGTGGTTGATCAGGCGTGGCTTTCGTCGTGGTTTGGACATTTTTCTTTCTTCTATATGACTGACGATATATCATGACACTTTCACTTATTAGGGCACTTTATGAATTTGACGTTTTGACGTTTTTGACTGTTCTGTCTATAGCATTTATCGACACGTTTACAGACATCCCGACGCACATACGGATACCACAGATGACAGATGACAGTGCGCGCCGAGCCGTCAAAAGTCGACGGCTTTTCGTTGGTTCATGCGGTACTCGAGTAGTCGAGTACTCGCCTTCGCCTCGCCTCGCCTCGCCATCCAAACCCCCAAACCCCCAAATCCCAAAAAGAAACAAAAAAAAAACAAAATCCCAGTCCTTCCCCGCACCGTACTCGTAGAGTCGTAGAGTCGTACACATCACAAAAACCCTGCCCCCTTGCCCCCTTGCCCCCCTGCCCCCCCTTGTACAAGTACGTCGTACCTCGTATCCACAAGTTCCACAAGTCCTAACGGCCCACGGCCCACGGCCCACAGCCCACCACGCGAAAATCGAAAATCGAAAATCGAAAATCGAAAATCGAATCTGAATCCTGATAATGATAATGCTATGCATCCATGCATCCAAACTACTCTTCCACCCCTTCGTCCTCTCCACCCCTTGGTCCTTGGTCCTCTCAGTCCTCTCCACCCCTTCGTCCTCTCGGTCCTCTTGGTCCTCTTGGTGCCTCTTGGTCCTCGGTCCTCAAGCCAAAGTAACACTCGCCCCCAGATCTTCCAACGTCTTCTTCAGCTTCTCGGCGTCTTCTTTGGGGACGTTCTCTTTGAGTGTTTGGGGTACGGATTCGACGAATTTCTTGGCCTGGCGTTAGGGTAGGGGGAGGGGAGGGGAGCGGAGGGGAGCGGAGGGGGGGAGGGGAGGGGAGGGGGGGGAGGGGAGAGGAGGGGAGAGGGGAGGAGAGGAGAGGTTGTCAGCTGTTGTTTGCGTGGGATGAATTGGGATTTTGGGATAATTGGGGGTGGTGGGAAGGGAAGGGAAGGGAAGGAAAGATCATGAGAAAGCAACGCTTGACGCTTGACGCTCGACCCAACACTCAACACTCAACACTCAACACTCGACACTCGACACTCGACACTCGACACTCGACGTTGAAGGGATAGGGATAGATCCTGAGCGATGTACCCTTTCCTCGCCTCCCTCGCCCCACAAGCGAACAAGCGAACAAACACCGATGCAAGCCTGCCACAGCCACAGCCACCTCCTCTGCCCTCCGCCCTCCGCCCTCCGCCCAACCCCAATCAGGGATCAGGGATCAGGGTATTCGCCCACCTCTCCCACCGAAAGAAAAGAGAAAACCGAAAAACCGAAAAACCAAAAACCGACAACCGGAAAGGCAGGACTCCCCTCCACCAACTGACCAACTGATCTGATCTGATCTGATCGCTCGAGGCCCCATGGTCGACCGAGACCACCAGAACAGTCCACCTCCCACGAAAAAAACGAAAAACGAAAAAACGTCTGACAGCCCTTCGCCCTTTCGCCCTTTCGCGAATTCACCCCCTTCGCTCCACCGCCCACCGCCCACCGCATGCTGTTTCGTCCATCGACCAACCATCCCAGCACCCTCCCCTCCCTCCCTCCCCTCCCAAACCCTTAGAAACCAAAACCAAAGAAAGAAAAAAACCACTCACCTCAACCAAGTTCATATTCGGCATCATCGCCTTCACCTCCCTGATGATCTTTGCCTTGGCCGCCGCATCAAACTTTTCGAGCTTGACGGTGAAGATTGTCTTTTCCTTGGGCTTCTCCTCGACGGGGGCTTCGGCTGCTCCGCCTGCTGAGGCCGCGGAGGAGGCGGGGGAAGCGGCGGGGAGGGCGATCTCGGTGATGTTCAGTTTTGTCTGTTACGCGCCCAGTCCCAGTCAGCCCAGTCAGCCCAGTCAGGCAGACCCTCCATAACTCCAACTCCCAGGGGTTCAAGAGGGAAAGAAGGGAAGAAGGGAGAACGCACCTTGAGCGCCGAGACGAGCTCGGAAACCTCCAAAAGACTCAATGTGGAGATGGTCTCCACGATAGGCGCAATCTTGGGGGATACCGCGGCGGCGGGTTCAGCTTGAGCTTGGGCGGCTTGGGCGGGCTCGGCGGCGGCGAGGGAGGGGCGGGATGAGGCGAAGGAGCGGAGGGCGAGTGGGGAGGAGGAGGAGGGAGAGGCGATTGGGCGGGGTCGGGCGTTGCGGAGGAGAGATCGGGAGAGCTGTGCCAGAGTCAGAAGGGCGGATGGGAGACGGAGGGACGCACGCTCATCGTGGCGGTAGTTTTGTACGAGTGCGAGTGAGCGACTTGTCGAAAATGCAGAGACGCACGGGATCAATCAGGTGCCACACCCACAACATCCCGCGTTTCGCCGTCCCATGTTTGGTTCTCTTTCCCCCAAGTACTTTATGTAGGATATCGATATGCATGCTCTGTTATAGACAGTGATAGGAGACACTGGTAATTCAACCGTTATACTTGTGCCACCTTCTTCCCATTGACATCTGTGCTTTTTCCATCGACACATTCCTTCTTCCGTCTACTGAATACCTTTCCCCGTCCCTAGCCCGATACATTTCATCCCTTTCGCGCCATTCTATCAAGCATCTACAACACCTCATCAGCTCTATCCACCAACCGCTCAACCCCTCCGGACGACGGATAAAACACTCACAATAAGAGTTCCCCGCCTGCGCATAGTTCATCGCCCCCAGCTCATCCTCCGAAAACTTGTCTTGGTACTTTTCATGCGTCCTCTTGAAAGACTGGATAAATCTCCATTATCAGCATTCCCTCTCATAATCATAATCCGAAGACGAAGACGAATCCCGACTCACAGCAACACACGCCCGGATAGCCGTCGATATAGGCGCAGGGTCCGATACGCGCGGCGCAAGTACATCCGCAATCAGTTTCGCTGTAACCCCCAAAAGTCAAAAGTCAAAAGTCAGCGGCGACTCCAATCTCCCTATCCCACGAACACGAAAAAAAAAACCCAGACTCACGCATAAACTTGGGCACAGTATACGGGAAAGCATCCACCAGCGCCGTAGCGCCCAGCACCGCGCCATGCAGATGCACCATCTTTTCCTGATACTCTGGGTTCACTTTCACTTGCCCCCCCGGGTTCACTTGGCCGGGGGCGGCGGGGGCGCGACGGCGGGGGAGAGTTGTGGATTGGATCTCTCGGGTGAATTTGTCCTAGTCCACAGGCGGTTAGTTTTGCGCGATTGCCAAGTCTGGAGTAGGGCGGTATGGAGAAAGGGGGGGGGAGGGGGGGAGGGGAACGCACTTTGAGGATCTCTACCATCGCCCTCTGCGAGCATCTCAGGAATCCGCTCAACGTACTACAGTACGACGCGTCAGCTGTTGACCTTGCTGAACAAGCAACAACAACAAGAACGAAAAAAAGGAAGAAGAAGAAGAAGAAGAAGAAGAAGAAGAAGGAAAGAAACGCACGCAGAAGCCATCTCCCGAACCTCCTGATTCGCATCCCTCAAGCACGCCGCGACAGCCTAAAGTAGCAGTGACGTTAGCATCCCTCATCCCTCATACCTACTGCCTACAAGACGACAAGACGGGAGACGAGACGATTGCTCACATCCAAACACTGCACCTTGCACCCCTCCGACAGCAACGCCAGGTTCCTAAAGTACACCAAGCTCAGAACGGGCATCACATTCATCCTCGTCCTCCACGACTGCACCCCAAAACCATCAGCACATAGCACACACCCGAGACCCCGAGAGCCCGAGACCCGAGACCCCGAGAGCCCGAGACCCGAGACCCCGAGAACGTTTAGGATGGGACGAACGTACAGTAGAATCCTGCAGGATCTGCACCAACTTTGCAATGAGCGGTTCGATAAGGCTCAGCGCGGGGGTGATCGACGTGATCATCGCCAGCAGACGGCCGCACGTCCGTTGGAGGTCGATATTGTCGTTCATCTCTCGCAGCTCAAAGATCTGCGGAAGGATCGGGATGATATACGGAAAGGCTGATACTGCGCGCACGTCGGATAGTTCGACAATCATCCACAGGAGGGCTTGCAGAAAACATTGAAGCGTCAGCGGGGATGGATGGTACAAGGAACAAGGAATGGGAAAGCGAACGCACCAGTCATGGCAATCTTGTCGTGCTCCGACAACACCGCCTTGGGCCCGTGCTCTCTCCTCTCCTTCAACCCCGGCAACGACCCAAAGATGCCCATCAGCTCCGACTCATACCGCGCACTGCGGATGTGCATAATGTCCTTTTCGTCCTTCGGGTCCTCAAGGATGGAGGTGACGAATGCAGCAGCGCTGGGGTAGGACGGGTGGAACTGATCACACACACACACAAAAATGTCAGTATCGCCCAAAATCGGAGGTGGTAGGATTGACGTACCTTGAACTGGTCGGCGGCGTTGAACACCGAGCCGAGTAGACTCCGGACTTCTGCGTACCCGCACCCGACCTCCTTGAAGTAGACGGCGAGAACGCCATCCGCCCAGGCGTTGAATCGCCATTGGAGACATCGCAAGGCGGAGCGAACGAGCTGGACGCTTCGGGTGACTGATTGATACGTTGGCGAGCGATACAAGGGTTTGACAAGACGAGGACTCACGTTGGAAAGCAGCAGCACCCTGGAAATCGGCGTTCAGGGCAGTATCCATGCAAAAGTCGATAATGGGCAAGAACCGCCGGGGGTCGTGCTCGCACAGGATATACTCGATCGAGGTATCCCAGCATCTACCCGTCATCAGCAAAAGACCAACAGACGCGACGTCCAACTCACTTTGTAGTATCATGCCTGATATTCCCATACAACTCGGGCAGCTTCGGGGTAAACCAATCCCACAGGACTTTCCTATCCTTCCCAGGCCACTCGATCCCGCCTCTGATCACTCCCGCCAAAAACTCCCACATCGCCCTCGTCTTGTGTCTGTCGTAAACCTTGGTCTCCTCCATCTCGGCCAAGTAGCCTTCGACGATCGGCTTGATATAGTGGAAGACCTGAATGCCATAAATCTGGGAGAGGGCGAGTACAAAGTCGATATTCGTGGCGGAGGGGTAGTTTCGCTCGGCTTCTTGGGCCCAGAGGTCGGCGAGCTAGCGTAAATGAGTAATAGTCCTATACGATACAAATACTCACCCTCTGCCACCAACCCTCTTGCGCTATAGCCTTTTCGACAAGGTCTCTCGCCGGTAGACTCGCTTCCTCAATCGGGAACAACGACTCGTCCCAGCCCGAAAACCTCGTGACCTCGAGCTTCTTGCCCCACGCCAGCCATCCCGACTCGACACGGTCGTGCAGCCAAGTCTCGCTCTCGTCGGTCACTGGCTCCCTGAAAGACTTTAGATATCTCTCGGTAAACTCGGGGGACGTGTCAGTCAGGGTGATTTCCTTGGTAAAGTCGTCGATAGGCTCTTGCAAGAACAGCAGTTCTTCGGAGCCTTTGCAAAGGGAGCGGAGAGTCATCTGGAAGAGCGCTCGGGTCACGCCACTATGTCGGATCAGCAAACAGTCTTTACAGATAGTTGACTTACACGATACCATAGTCCCGAACTCTTGGCAGAGGGTTCTGCACATTGGCCATGAAGAAGGCCGTCAATCGCAAATCCAACGGCCTATCCCTCCTCATAACCGCCAACAAAAACCTTGCCGCCGACAAGACATATCGCCAGTTTAGACCCGGCGTCTGAGCCTTGGCGAGGACCCTGTCAACAAAGATATCCCACTGCTCGTCCTGGTGCGTCAAACGCTGAGCGGTGCCTCTCTCAAGATCGCCAATAAGCTCCTGGCTCGGCTTGTGCGAAAGTACACTGGCCAACTCGTCTGCCGCCTTCTTGACCGCCTCGAGACGAACGTCCATGTTGAACGACAACGGTTCCTTGATCCGCCCAACGAGCTCATCTGTGGCCTTGGACACTAGCGCTTGAACGGACGCCTTGGTCTCGTGGTGGGCGTTGAGAAGGTGCTCGGTGAGCTCTAAAAGTTGGCGCCAGTCTTTGCCGATACGGTTGATACCGATGTGGTTGTACCGCAAGACATAGAGCGCACCCTTCATGATGTCGGGGTCGGTACCAGGCCTGAGGGCGTCAAAGAGAGTGGGGAAGCAAAGCACCCATACGCCCCTGTAGAGCTTCGCGACAGTGTCCAAAGCGCTTTGCGCCGACCTCCTAACTCGAACAAACGGCGAAAGACAAAAGTCGAGCATATTGACGATGAGCTTGTCGTCAAGAGCAGATCGCTTTCGGTAGTACGCCAAAGTCGTGAGCCTAGTCTGATGATAGACTGTGCCGTTTGCGAGATAGATCGAGCGGTGGTGCTTTCGCTGACCCGACAAGAGCTTCTTTGTCTGCGTCATCGCCGACAGCGCACCCTGCGAGTTGGCAAACTGCTTCGACCTCACGCCGTAGCATGTTAGGTAGGTGCTGATCGTCGTCACAAGGAAGCGGACAGATTCAACAGAGTTTTCCGACTGGCCCGCCGTACGCATACGGTTGGCAGCCTGGTGCAGGGTTTCGGCTATTCGGTGACGGAAACTTTCGACGTGGAGGTAGCGAGGGTCACTAGGGTTGGTGAGGACAAGGCCGGACCTGTACTTTGGAAGCTCGGCATAAAGGTTCTGGGGCAAGAAGCTATTCGACATTAGCTCGTAGCCCAAATAACTCATAGATGACTCACGAAGGCGCTTGCTTTCCCCCCACCTTCCTATCGTCAATCTCCTCGATGAGGTTATAGCTCCCCCTCAAGACCTTATCCACCACATTGATCGCCCGACAAAACTCGTTACTCCACTCCTTATCCCCCATCTCCCCGCGCTCTTGCTGCACCAGCTTTCCAATCCTCCCCGCCGCCTCATCCGCAAGAGCCAGCACTTCAAACGCCATATCCACATCCTCCTTGCTCGGCATCCTCCATTCCGGCTTGACCTCGCTGGGGCGGTAAAGCTTGCCCCAGTATAGGTGATGGTTTGCCTTGAAATCGGCAGATTCAAAGGTGTCGACGTTGAGCATCTTCATTTCGGTGTAGTAGACGGATGTAAGAGAGGAGACGGTCTTTTCGATGATCTTGCCGGTCCAGGCGTAGCCGCGTTCGGATAGACAAGAGTCGATCATGATACGGAGTAATTCAAGGAATGAATCTTTGATCGCGGGGTCAGATAGCTGTAAATGGTCAGCGACAAACATATTCGTCAGAAAACTCACCATTGTACGGCCAGGGATCAAGCACCCGATCAAGATGGCCTGCCACCAATGCAGCGTCGCATCAGACGGCAAGGGAATACTCGTCGTAGTCGTC